TAAATTGAAAATCAATTGTAGTCATTAAAAAAAAAATAAATTGCTTCTTCTCTGAGCAGATAACCATTGCAGTTGGCTACGAATTAGCTAATGACCTGAGAGTCTGCTTGGCACTCTCTACATCCGACATCCTGAGGGCACATGTCGTTCCCAGACTGCGCGCGGCTCCTATGATATTAACCTTGGTTACTATGTAACCTCATTAAATTTGCTTTGTAAATGGTTAGTTTACTTTGAAAAATTGCTTTTCACATTGTTTTAATTGTTTGTATTGGTTAACGAGAATTGGATGCCACCCAAAAATGGCGGATATTCGTCATCGTGAGAAAGGCTAATTAAAGGCTGGTAATGCGCCTTAAAAACCATCATTCAAAAGGCTGAACTGTGCCTTTAACTTAAGGTTACAGGATACCCTGTTTGGCGTTTTGTGGAAAATCGCTACCGCGCGCTCAAAATGACGCTAACGCTACCGCGTGCATGCAAAATATGATAAAGTTGTAAAATTCACAAACAATAAAATAATGTAAGAGTTATTCAGGAAAATCTTAAGTCGCGGTACCTTTACGCTTTTGAGTTATGTTCCTGCTGGTTTTAAGATATATTTATGAAAATATCATTTTTATACAGTAAAAAAGTTGTTCTAAAAATGGTGTTCGGAAATTCTTGTTTATTTCGTCATTCCGCTGATATGGCGATTTCTTTGACGATTGCAATATATTTCTGAATCGTTTGTGTGAACTGCTCCTTATTATTAAAATATCCAAAATTAGAACAAAGCCGAATACAATTTTGAAACTGACGTCTTTAGCTATGTCCTGTGAAAATGTGAGAAAAATTCGATAAAACTCGCAGGAGCACAACTCGTTTAAAAATCAGTAATTGCCTTAAAATTCTTCGGGAGACAATTGAATTTGAATATTACATTTTCAATGTTTTTCTTATTGCAAGCGAAATGTATTTTATTAAATAACTCTGCGAGTTTTCAACATTTTTCGTCCCAAACTTGGTCAGATAGTAGAAATAGTCTAATGCATTCATGGAAACCAATAAAAAATTTTTAGGCAAAATTAACACTCCGAAAGGTGTTCTGTAACCTTAAACAATATCAAACGCGTATTAATACGAAAATTGATTAGATTTTGGTAAACTTTGGATTAAAATTGGATGAGAAATTAGCAAATGTTGTCTTGCTTTGCCCGGCAGAGTAAAATGAATGCGTAATTAACCCATTGTATAAATTATGCCTGATACATAACTTAATTCGCTGGCGCAGGCATGTATAGTCCATTGAATGGTATAGTCTTCGAGTGCCCTATATAGTTATTAATCTTATTGTAGATTCAAACGTCACGAAGAAAATGCTGAACAAGGAAGAGAATCAAGTGGAAGAAAATCAAGTGGACGAGGAGTATCGGAGAAGGTACGCGGTCCTTTTTGGAATATTTTATTCTCTATCTATTTTAAAAAGCAATATGCATGTAACGCGCATGGCAGGACGTAGGTATAGAGGGGTTTTTACAGGCTTATTATTTTCGGGCAAAACGAAAATTGAAAGTAAATTCACTACGTAAAGCAAATGTTATGATCCAGATTTAATCTTTTAAAATTATTTTAGAAAACGCGTTCATTAAAAGTATATGTCGTTCTTTGAATTATATTTATATTTAGATACTGACTGCTGTCCAACGTAGTGCAAAGGATGGAGAAAGTGAACCAAATACGTCTACAAATGAGTCAAGATTATACTGTTTTGTAGTCACAACTTTGAAGTTCGTGTTGGGAACATTAAAGTCTGTACTCGCAATATTAAAGTGGTTCGTATTCGCAACACTAAACTTCGTATTTGCAACACTAAAGTTCGTATTCGCAACTTTAAAATGGTTCGTATTTGCACCACTAAAGTTCGTACTCGCAACACTAAAGTTCGTACTCGCAACACTAAAGTTCGTATTCGCAGCAATAAAGTGGTTTGTATTCGCACCACTAAAGTTCGTACTCGCAACATTAAAGTTCGTACTCGCAACATTAAAGTTCATATTCGCAACATTAAAGTGGTTCGCATTCATACCTTTAAAGTTAGTATTAGCGATATACGGAGATCAACATAAAGAAGACAACAATAACATGAGAAATGAAATTAAGGAACTACGACAAGAGAATAGCAAGATGCACAACAAAAATCAGCAACTTCGACAAGAGAAAAATCAGTTGGACAACGAAAATCAGCAATTTCGACAAGAAAAAGGTCAGTTGGAGAACGAAAATCAGCAACTTCGACAAGAGAAAAATCAGTTGGACAACGAAAATCAGCAACTTCGACAAGATAAAAATCAGTTGGACAACGAAAATCAGCAACTTCGACAAGATAAAAATCAGTTGGACAACGAAAATCAGCAATTTCAACAAGAAAAAGGTCAGTTGCAGAACGAAAATCAGCAACTTGAACAAGAGAAAAGTCAGTTGGAGAACGAAAATCAGAGTCTTCGACAAGATAAAAATCAGTTGGAGATCGAAAATCAGCAACTTGAACAAGAGAAAAGTCAGTTGGAGAACGAAAATCAGCAACTTCGACAAAAAACTGATGACATAATCAATGAAATGCAAGAGACTCGACAAGAAAACAACAACATGGAAATTGAAATTCAGCAATATCGGGAAGACACCATGTCTAGCATCTTTTCAGAAAGTGGATCAGTAGTAATTTCAAATGAAGAACTTGGAAGAGGTGCTTGGGGTGCTGTTTACACGGGAGACTTTTATGGAACTAAAGTAGCAGTTAAAGAATATTACGAAATCATTTTATCTCCACATAATTTGCAAATACTTCAACGTGAAATAAATATCGCATCACAATGTCGGCATCCTAATTTACTACAGTTTATTTGCGCGACGAAAAATCATCAAAATCGTCTATTAATTGTAACAGAACTGATGGATATGGCTTTGCGTACATTAGTTGAGCAACGTGCAACAGAAAGATCGCAGTTGGAGGATCAGAAGGTTGAATCAATTTCCTTAGATGTTGCACGTGGCCTAAATTACCTTCATTCTAAAACGCCGAACCGGATTATCCACCGTGATGTTAGCAGTGCCAATGTATTGTTATGGATTGAAAACGGTGCAGTAAGAAGAGCGAAAATATCGGATTATGGTTCAGCTAATTTCATGGAAGTGTCCAAGACAGCAAATCCAGGATCAGCGCTTTACGCCGCGCCTGAAGCCAATCGAGAAAAACAAGATCCTAAGGTAAATATATTCGAAAGTATTTACACGAGCTAGTCAGTTAGAAAATAGCACAAATTTTGATTTCAAAATTGAAAAAATAATTGTTCTTTTGAATTCACCATGTTCAACGCCTGAGCTGGACGGGAATTAGTCCAAACAGGTTGTTATAATCCAAAAATCGCTGGAAAAATAGTAAAGTAAAACTATAGTATTGAAATAATATTTGCATTTACTAAATGCAAAGTATATCTCAACTATTTCCACACTATATCCATAGTATATCGGGAAAACAAGTATGGAAATGGCAATGGAGAAAGGATTTCCTTATCATTCCCATTTAGGATCCATATATACTAACTATTCCAGTGAAATATCTTACTTATACACCACAACAACTTGATGGCATTGCCTTTATCTAAAATAAAAAAATTCTGCGAACGAAATTTGACATTTAGTTACATTTTGGCACTGTATTTTAATAGGTGACGCTGGTTTCAGCCTTGCTCAGAATTGAAATTCATCAAAAAACTCTTCTGATCATTTTAATGGATTGCACTCGAAACCATGTCACAACTTTTGTAACAATGAATATGAATTTATGACAGATCAGTTAAATTCGATATTAAGCAGATATAATATTAGATATATTTTCGCTCGCTACTCTGGTTTAAATGAACGCAGTCCCAAAAAATCAAATTCACGACCCAACGTCTGGTCTCATCGTGTGTGGTTATCAAAAGTCGCAACATGGTTGTTTTCCAACACGAGTACATCTATACCTTCAGTGTTGTTACTATATAGCTAGATCACCCCCAATGAAGACACTAAACTGAATTTTTGTACTGCGCCGGTCAAGCAACTTTTCATCTTGCACTCGAAGAAACCGTTTACTAGTTGTTTTATCTTTTTTATATTTAATATGCAGATCGATGTGTTTAGCTATGGTTTCCTGGTATGCGAAATGTCTGTTTGTGAGCTACCACATCCTGAACAAATCAAAAGAAAGGGTCAAATAAAGGATTCAGAATGTTGGTATCAAAAGATTGGTGGAACGTTGTACGGAAATAGAACCGCAAAAAAGGCCAACAATGCAGGATGTAATTGGATTCTGGTCAAATTGAAACAAGACCTAACTATCCCAGTGCTAACACTACATCAGTACTCTAGCTTAGTTAGTTTATTAACATTTATCCCATAGTATATAATATTACATGAACATTTTAGTCTTCTTCATTACGTAGCTTGGTCAAAAACGTCGGCACGTATATATAGTATGTGTATCTGTAATTTACACTAATCCTGATGATATAAACTACAATCAAGTCAAAACGTCGATTATAAAAATCAAAATGTTTTTCGGAGTTACTGTTCTTTTGTATTCCTAATCTACAGCAAAGGTTACAAATTTGGCTTTCCGAGCTTATGTTACAATACAATGTGCATACTTGACATTTATGCTGCCGAATTTGACTCCCATGCACCGCAATAACAAGTATATCTACCCCCCATAAAATGCCCTTGCTAATTTTGTTGCAAATAATTGATGCGAACAATACGTCAGCTGCAGTTAATATTAAAAACAATTATTATATGTTGGTTTTCAAGCTATGTTTACATTGTATCGGATCGGTTTTTGCTTCGTTCGCGAAACGTTACGGCCCAAGTGTAAATAGCTTCCGCCCCCGCCCTTCTATGCAGTCGTATTTGCTTGTATGTATTTACCAAATACAAAGTCAAAGATATTGCGACATCATTTAATAATTTTGCGATATTGACATAGAAACAGTAGGCCAGTATAGCCATTCTGCATTCTTATTGGCTCACATAAAATATTGTGAGTAGGGAAACAAAATGGCGCCTCAATAGGCACCGGGCATGCAAACGAGAAACCAGGATTTATTCGCTCGTATCCTAAATATCTGTAGGTTTATATATGAATTATTGCCCTCGACTATAGAATTCGATTCCGCGACTAATAACCGCATAGCAGTAATTAAACTCTCCCTTTCTTCCATTTTTTGTCTTTCCTTGTAAATCAACTATATATCATAGGATAGATTGTTCGCTCTTTCCATTAAGGTGGCTCAATACAGTTTTTAAAAAAATCGAAAATTCACGATTTAGATGCGCATTTTTGGACAATTATTACTTGTTGATAAACAAAAAGTATACCTTACTATAAAACAACACCTATAAACTGCTAAAGAGTTTGAATTTTTGCACAAAAGTTACCCAACTGCTGTCGCTATGGCAACAATGACGTTTCAAGATGGCGGATATTTTGGCTTTTAAAGTAATTTTACTCGTAAACGACATCAGTGACCCCCAAATTTTATTTTAAAAAATGATTTCTCTTAGTATAAATTATTTTGACAATTTAAAAAAAAATTTGTGGAACCGAAATATCATTATTCATAATAATTTTTTTTTGGCTCCACAGAATTTTTTTTAAAATTGTCAAAATAATTGATTATACTAATTTTTGACGTTTTGCTTGGTTGAGCACATCAAACATCGTTACGTCTTCTACAACACTCACTATAGCCACATGCTTGAGTATTTATTTGTATTCAAATATTTTAATAAAAACCCCAGAAACCAGGGTAAATATGAACCCAAAATCACGAGCTTTGATTATATTAGAGGTTCATGCAGAGGTTAATAGCTGCTGAATCTATATATAGAAGTACTAGTCACTGAGGTTAATTTTGGGCAAAAACCCAATGGCAATGTTTATTTCACCCTTTAATTTGCCTTGCCATATTCTAAAATAAGGCTATAGCTTTTACTTTGTTTCGATTTGATCAAAACGCCTGAACGGACTCAATATCTATATAAAATATCATACAAACACCTTGACTGAATACTTCCTCTTTCGAAATCTCTGCGTACATCCAAACCGGCCAATGCTATATTGAGCAATTTTTTCTTTCACTGATTTTCAACAACCGAGAAATATTGTTTTAGTATGATGTTTTCAAATTAGTTTTACTTCAGTTTTAGTTTAATACAGTAATTTATGTTTAGTTTTAGTTTAGTTCTAGTTTGAAAAAGGAATTTATTTTTAGTTTTAGTCTAGTTCTAGTTTGAACAAGGATTTTTTTTAGTTTTAGTAAGTTTAGTTCTAGTTTGAAACAGAAATTTTATTTTAGTTTTGTTCGAAACAGGAATTTCATTTTAGTTCTGGACCTTCTGGTTTAGTCCTAGCTAAGCAAACGATTTAGTTTTAGTTTTCAGTGGTTCAAATAATTATGTACAAACATGTTTGTGTAAAGGCCACTGCTACACTAGAGTCCAGGCCAGGAAAGACCAAATATTATATATTCAAAATCAGCAATTGTTTATTTTGAATTCAAAATTGCTTTATTTAGCTGTTCAAGTGATTGAAGTGAATAATGCACTGGCAGCCTGCAGGCAGGACTATACAAATTAAGACAACTTTATTTATGATAACCCAATGTAAACCAGGGACCAGTGCCAGGGTCGAGGTTTCAACAAATTGTTTCGGTTTTCCAGGAACAGGAAGTATAAAATCATATGCATGGGGAAGGCGGAATCGACAGTTTACGATCAGTTCGCGATCAAGATTTCAAGATTTATTCAGAAACTGCACCATTTCCAAAACAAGGAAAATGTATATAAGATTTTACAAATGATTATGTTTTGAATTAATAATTTTAAGTTAATTTAGTAAGGTGCGTAGTGATCAAAGCCAAAGGAGCATAAACTTTCGAGTTGATCACTATACCTATACGTTCGATCATATAGATTTATACTTTAAAAAAAAATGTCCCCTCGAAGCCGAAGGCCAAATTTTATATTTCAAAAAATGGATCACAAACAATCTTTTCCAACAAACTAAAAATGGCTTGCGCACGAAATTTAAAAGCTTTAATCATATTTTGAGTTGATTTTTATTTATTTATTCATTTTGTCACACACATTAAAGATATACATTTACGTAGAGATAACAATAACAATAACTAGAGAATGCTGCGACAGGAGAAGAAAACAGAAACTAAATTCCAATTGATATTCGACCCCTTAACAATTAAT